TATTATGCGTGTTGGCTGGCATATGTGTTGCAATGCACCAGTCTCAAGTACCAAGTCCACGAACTTTGCTTCAACCTCACCAATTCCAGGCATCAAATGCACATCAGGTCATCGTGTTCAAGGACAGTTAAAATCGCCCATAGATGGAGACTGTGGACGACACATGTGGGTTCGAAGATGGGGCAGCCAATTCAAACAACGATTCAAGGGGCAGCGATAAACTGCGCCTACAAGTAGTTCTCCGCGCCTGAGGCGGATGGAGCACCACAGTAGCTCACACAAACCATCGTCACTTCGGTATGTGCTCACAAGTCCCCCACGCAGAAAAGACCGGATGTAGAGCAAGACACCACCGCGGGCATTCTTTAGTCTATCGCATCGGAAGCACGAGTAACCGTTGAGTTCAAGTTCCTGGGTGTATATCTCCGAATGCAGCCATGTCTCTCCGAGTTCCACTACGTCTGGCCACTCAGACGCAACGGAACAACAAAGCTCACCGCGCTTGTTCATAACACTGAAAGCGTTTGTGAAGGCTACTCACAGGCCGCAGCAGAAGCCGCCGGGCGTGCTTGAAGTGTGCGCAGCCTGTTTATCCTGATTCGCAGATTGTTGGAAACCACCCGAAAATTTACGATGCGAATATTTGTTTCCCGCTCACCAGTAGGTCTTTCCAGTTCAATGATGGCGGATTTAAGCCGTTCCCTGTCTACTGGGTCAGAGTCTGGACGAACATGGATCTTCAAACCTATCAGCTTATTTAGGCGGGACATGATCAATCTTGGATTGGCTTCGTCCACAAAAGGGATTCTCATAGGCTGATTTTGTTAATCACCCCACTTTCCAAGACGCGTAATTTGCATCACATTTACCGAGTCCTCACCATCGTCGAGGAGTCTGTCAATTAGACTCTGTAAAAACTCAACATCGTGATCGTAGCGCACTTGGGGTGATGGATCACTGGACTCTGGCGCGTGGAAGATCACGAGATTATAACGCCTCTGGTCGGACGATGTATATTACGAGCCTCACGTGGTTTGGCTTACTGTTGACTTAGAAGTCAAACGCCCAACATCCCTTCGTAATTTAAAGTTACGTCTCACGGCTGTACGCCGTAACGGTGCTTCGCTGCTGTGCGACCACCACCAATCGCACGCGGGCTGAGTATACCGCGAGGACGCCCACCCCCACGCGGATTCTAACCCGCGCCGCAAGATTGCGAGACAAACTCGTTACCTCTAGGCTACGTGGTCGGACCATTTGCCGATGAGTCGAGTAAAGGTGCTTTTAAGTGTGCGTCTGGCGTCTTTCGCAAGGTTACCGAAGACTCTTTTCGCCGAAAACTAATTATAACTATTTGTTGTATGAATCCCTTGAGATTTTGATTCTGACCCAACAGCTTTTGCCGTATCCTTGGACATGTAGGACATACCGGGTGGTTGGCCATTAGTTCTACTACCCTTCTGAGAAGCAAGCGGCGTGTTGTATTTTGACACTCTAGAAGATATCAATGGTCCATTGTGCACAAAGTTATGCCCGCTAGTGCTTTTAGTGTTTATAAGTAGTGTAGCAACCGGTTCTTTAACTCTAGAATGCCCACCTGGTGGTTGGTCACACTTCGGGGAGCCAGAACTTACACTGCTAATTAGAACACATTTGACAAGTTTCTGAAGATTATTCGAAGAGATTTTACCAAAATGTTGAACTGGGTCACTGTCAAGCATATTGCCTATTTCTAGATGTTTTGGACGGACTATATAGTGTCGAATTTTAGGTGCAACACACACGCTGGGTGCTGCCTTGGAGTGGCGATTGTTAAGGTCCACTTCACCATCTAGGCTTACGTGTTTCCAGGAATTTGTTTCTTTGGGCCTACGAAAGACTCTACTTCGAATCACCTCTTCCTGGAAAGGTGTCTCAAATTTAAGAAGAATCCTTTCGAAACTGGATCTTGTGGCCATAAGACTTTAAGCGCGGATGATCTTTTCCGCATTTGCTTTGTCAAAGAGCTTTAACATGGCCGGGCAGCAATGTTTCTGCGAGTTCTTCTTTAATCGAAAGTTAATCAACAGCTCTCAGCACGGTCTTCCGAATGTTTGTTCATGCAAAACGTGCCAACTGCCTCAAAGGATATCGATAAGTCTTCAACCATTATTTACGTCAACATGCCAAAAGCATTTGATCGTGTGCCACACGGAGAACTAGTATAATAATAATATAATAATGTGCCAGCTGTACGCCGTAACGGCGCTTCGCTGCCGCGCGACCACCACCAGTCGCGCGCGGGCTGAGTACACCGCGAGGACGCCCACCCCTACGCGGATTCGAACCGGTGACCTTATGGTTGCAAAGCAAACGTGCAAACCACTCGGCCACCGGCCGACGAGAACTAGTATACAAAATGATGTCGTATGGAACCGGGGAACCCCTGCTTTCGCAGTTCAAGTCGTATCTTACAACTCGAACACTGGTGGTGCAGATTCAGATGCACAGCAGTCACAAGTGGTGTAGTACAGGGTAGTGTCTTTGGTCCTATACTGTTTTTGATGTATGTTAACGATATGTTTGACGCAGTGAAATTCGGAACACCATAGGTGTTTGCTGACAGTATCAAGATCGTCTATACGTCTACCCTGGTACCATAAACGAAGCTACCAATATGAGCCAGCTCGACCTCCACGCGCTCGGATCCTGGTGTTCAAAGTGGGGAATGTTATTGACGACAGATAAGTGTTACGCTGTATTAAAAATTTGACATCATACTTAGCGGTCTGAACATTTGCGATAAGCCAATTGACAAGTGCCATACATTTCGGGACCTGGGACTAAAATACTCATGCTGGCTCAACTTGTTCGAACTAGTATCTTACATCACTTCAAAGACAAGTTAAAGCATTGGAATGTTATTTAGAACTTCGAAATTAAAAATCCGTACTCTGCGCATATTCACCACTTTCACGTCCCCTTTTAGAATACTGCCCAAGGTACAGTAGCACAAACAAACTTTACCATTGTACTAAAAATGTACAACGGACATTCACAAAGCGCTTACTAGGTACTCCATCGAAATTAGAATCTTCCGAGCGATGTGAGAAAGTCAAGCTTGATCCCCTCTGGTCGAGGCGTATGAAGCACAATCTACTCATATTCCTTAACATCCTGCACAAGAAAATACAGGTTTCCAACCTTTACAAGGCACATAGTACAATCACCATCATACAACAAAGAAAATTCTATACTGAAATAGAAGTCGAAGACCACCAGATCCGCTAACTTCTTAACAGATATGCACGAATTTGAAACAAATTGCCAACCGACATCCGGGCTAACAATTCAGAGCAAGAATTTCAAAAAAAGACCAGCAAATACTTGACCGTGCAAAATGTGATCCATCTATTGGGATGTCACATAAGGAACGGCCAAGCATAGGAACCAGATCTAGGATTTATATGATTTAGAAACAAGTTTGCAACAGTAAGGCCTCACATACTCACCGTCTTCATCTTTCTTCCTCCTACACGGCTATGCCAACGACCAGGTTATCACCAACAAGCGTGTACTGAGGGAGAAAGTCAATCAAACACACCTCCACATTTTCCACCTTCATTGTCAATGTTCTTACCACTCTTATTGCAGTTTGCTCTTATATTTATCTATTATAGGTGCCCCTCTTGCTCTCGTTTTATCTGAGCGCCACTACCAACATTAGCTACTACTAAATAGCCTTGAATAAAGCAGTCATCACAATGTGCTTAAAGATAATTGCTCCCTACTTTATACATTTCCGTATTCATATTCTCAACAGACCTACCAATCCCAACATAGACATCTTGTGCAACATCAGGTAACACGCTGAAGAAAACGGACAACTTTTATACTACGAAAATTGATAATACATTTTCATTACTGTTATGCATTCTCTGATTATTCGTGGTCGTTGAACTAGAAAATGCTTTCATTTACCTGAATATGCCGTCACAGGCGTGTCTCGCCGAAAACAAGAACATACAATCTAAATTTCATATTTAATTACAATGTATGAACCGTAGATTGCTGGCTTCAAGGACGACCTTTTCTACGGTTTCGATTTTAACCTTATCCAGTATATTGAAAGCGACTACATTCCTATGATAGCCTATACGTTCATAAACTTCTGATGCAACTGCAGTGATGAATTATGAAGTTTTGTACAAGTGCTCTAGTTTGGGTTTCTTAGGCATACTACTGAAGTAAGAGAAGTAGCAGGCCTCAGAAGTCGCACACTGCCAGGATGTGATTGATTCGGCGTCTTTTTCAAGCCAGTCTACTCCGTTGCATACTTCTGTAGAACTGCTGGTAGTGGAATCTAAACGTTCTTTGCGAATTTTAAGTTTCATTATGATCACGTACCTTGATGACTTTTTTTGAAACCCGTCAACCTTCACTGTTTGGTAGCAGTGAATGTGTGGCCAAGTCACTTTTCCTGGAGGTTGGCAAGGCAACAGAAGAGAAAGCAAGTTGATCTATCTCTACCACCTTACTAGAACCCCACAAAGTTCCCCGGTTTGGTAACGCTGAGTGTTTTAGAAGTCATCGACAGGGTGGGAAATAAATTTAGCCGATATTTAAATGGAATTGATACAGCAATCGTAAGCAAGAAAGATGGGGGACTAAGGCCTTAATGAGTTATGCAGCTGGGAAAGAATAAGAAGCGACAGTATAATTGGAGAAAGGGAAGGTAGAGCACCCAGGTTGAATACACTAAGCCTATGCCCAAAGACTAGTAAAATTGTTCGAAAATCAATTAAGGGAGAGAGAGCAAATGTTTAGAAAATCCGGTATTAATCCAATGCTCCGAGCTGTGCGATAAAGAATCCTGAAAACAGCAACGGGAGCGCATCGGGGCGACGAAAAGCGCCTATGATCTAACCTAGTGACACGCAGCGACTGGTGAGCAAGCATCGTTGTTGATCTTACACCTGCCATTAGCGATCGACCCTTCAGATACCATCTTTCTTTTTCAGCTCGGAGCACCGCAAGTGATTTCAAACAATGGCACTGATATACAAGGACATCAAGAAGCCTCAGTTCCAAGGCAACCGAATTCCACTACTTCTGAGTCTGCACCTACCGCGGCACAACCGAGACAGAGATTCACCAGGATCACCAGCGCACTGCGCCTGTTTGTAACCGTTTTATATCAGTTCGTTTCTTCGCTTATCACTTCTTTGATCCCGGAGCAGCCGCTTCCAATGCGCCTTGATTGAGAATTTGGCGACCATAACCTGCTCTATCCAGTTCGCCAACCTGCATACCCCATTTAGCCTTATTTTCCTGTAACTTTATTGGCTCTTCTGAATTACAAGTCTTCCCTTTTATCGTCTCCACTTACGAGATAACAAACGTGACCACATTGCAATGTTGTTTCACATCACCATTGGGTGATATCTCTCACTCAGTTGTCTCCTGTGCCTTGAGTGTGTGTACTCTGCTCACACACACACACATCCAGTCACTTTCAGATAATCACGTCTCCGGCTTTTCCGACTTTGTTCCAAGTTCTCTTTGCCCCTACATACATTACTTCAATTTGGGTGCATGAAAACTGTGATCATTCGCTTTCAGACCCTTATTTGAACTCGCAAGCAAAAATGGACCATCACATTATTTCCCGTTGTGTTGGGTTTTTTCCTTACACTTATTTTTCGCCTTAGTTTTGTTATCGGCTCTTTTCGATCTCACAAAGTCGATACTGCTTTTTAGGTTATTGTTTCATGTAACCACAAAACAGTTCGGATTAAGCGAGCTGTACGAGACGTGAATACCGAGTACTACGGACTGGACTATACGCACAATACGAGTAGAAGGATAAGAAAAAATCCTTACGATAAAGCTCACAGTTTAGTTTCCAAAGTGCGCTTGTTTGCAGAAGCAGTGGTATTGGCAGATCTGCTGAGTGTAAAAGGATACGAGCATGAAACACCGAGGGCGAGCTAGATTGCATCTGAAAGCGTAAAAATTCTAGGTGGCGAAGTGCCAGACGGTCCTGGCTGCACCACAGATTAAATGTTCACGCTGCTAATAAACAATCAGTGCCCAATGCTTGTCATAAGTCTGTTACGATCGGCAACAACCAACTTATTATGAAGCGCTTCTCACGGAATAGGCTTACCCACCTAGATTCCCGTTCAATTTTTTCAACAATATTGCTTACACGCTTTACTTAACGTCACTATACTGAAATTTCTTCCAGCACAGACGTTTGTCGATTACCGCGAAACAGCGCCCCTATGCATTGTGAATACTTCATTTGATCGTACTCTGCTCTGTCAACCGTTGCGATAGCCTCACCACTTTGAGCGCCCATCGCTAGGGCAGGCACTGACACACGACGTGCAGCCGTTGGAGTTGTGGACGCTTTCCAGCGCTTCACGATTCATTGTTGTGGTAACCCAATCACGTACAGTGATCGCTAGCTGAAGTGCATTGTAACATGGTTAATTGGAAACTCCGGACCGGTGAGATACCATGGACGGTAGTCTAGCTAAAATTAGGCATCGGCTGGAAACGCAGCTAGATGTCGGTTTGCACTGCAAGTTCCTTCACCATAGAACTGAGTCGGGATACAAGTCACTCGCACATGGGGTCTTCGAAACTCCGTTCGCCATATGTGAAGTATCTGTAATCAATGGATTCACTCAACTCTTTTGCCCCACTTCCAATTATTAACGAGTTTGCCTACACACAATATTTCCGCCGCCGGAGAAGGGGAGTGTGAAGCCGTGTAACATGAACGCTTGGAAAGAGCAACCAAGATTCATTTCAAAGTGAATCATAGTCCTAATGACGATTGTGCGTAGCAATCCACTTACACAAGTGTTCGACATAACTTCCCAGATTAGTCATCAGCCTTTGTTAGAAGCGTTGCGCACCGCTACTCCCGAGGCTTAGGGTAGAGGTTTCGGTTGACATCCCAAAGGTACTGATTTCTAGTAGCAGTGCTGTCATATCTGCCAGATTCAAATAAAAAGCACAAGGCAGTCTGTAACACAAGTGTTTTACAACAAGTACAGCAATCGCCGGATTTGAGGGCTCCTGGATACCACCAGAGCGCCGGCGTACAAACAGATGGAGAAACTGATGTCAAAGCGCTGATGTGCAGTCAGAGGTGACACTGCTTATTTGTTGGAAAATTTTACAGGATATTCCTCCTGCTGACAGACTGCTTCAGATAGAGGCAACAAACGGCCGAAAACCGGCTTGCCAGGTAACACTCAACGCGTTTCACTAATTGTTACGTATAGATATCAAATTGGCTTAAACTACTTGCTAGTTAGATTTGTGCCACTAGATAATGGCTGGGTTGTTTAGGATGAATGCGTGTTCATTGGTGGGACCAGATACAGAGTAAGCCAAGTTCTCAAACGTTATTCCAAACCACCAAGAACGTTGGTATCGGTATCACTGATGGAACGTGAGATGCTACATTTACGCTGCGCTGGAGAATAGTTCGAATCAAAGGTTATAGAGACGCACTGATGAAGCGTGTTGCAAATTGAACGATGAAGTTAATAGAGTCGTCGATACGTGCGATCACAAGAAGACACAGTGTTACGCGAGGAATGACTTAGCTGGCTCCTATCGCGTAGTATCATGAATACGTGCGCGAGTGAGAGAGTTGTCAACGAGCGTTGGATCACAGGTCATCTCCCTTCCCGCCTTCACTCTATGCGTTATCGAAACAATTTAGAGAAAATGTGCATGCCTTCAAACAGCTGCAGGGTATGGCAATGAAGGCGGTTCTGTGGTCTGGATGCACTCTGATTTACTGTGCAATGAAAATGTCTGGCGACACGTAGAACATTAACTCAGGAAAAGGAGAAACAGCTGTCTCAACCTGCCACTCGTGTAACTGGTTAGTATGCAAAATAAGTACAAGCCACCAGCCAGTGTCCTCTATGCCCCAGGTTCGAGTCGTAGTCCAAGCTGACGAGTGTAAACAAGCGCGAACCCGGCCATGGAGTGCGGTATGGCGAACGGGCAACACACCACTGAGGCAACAATACAATCTAAGCCATTCGATTATGTCGGACTCGGCTGGGGCGTTTTCGTCTGTCTAGCATAGAATTCGTTAGTTCCGACCGGCTTAGTTTGTGTGAAACGCCAGGTGTATGTTTCGCACGACGACCACAACAACTTGCAGTCAAAACGCTGTTAAGCTAATCGGCCAACCGTGGATTTTCACCTTTCCTTCAGTATTGTACCATAAGCTCGACAGATTTCCATTTCCATGGTGACAAGTTGTCATGAACTGCTTGGTGATTGATGGACACGAGTTCCGGCTTATTATAGGGGGTCGCACCCGACTTTGATGGACATCGTTTGCTCCACCCACTTTGTCAAGTATTCAGCCACTCTCTGAGCCAACCGACAGTCAGTTCTGCTTAGGTAAGTATCACCGCAATTGCAAGTTGATCGATAAGTCACGTGAGAGGCTGAACTAGCCGCGGAGCTGCTCTGACGGGCATGAAGAACAAGTTTCCGGGTAGTATGCATGAGGCGCGATTGGGCAATCGTGTACGTGTGAGTGAGGGTTGACCTGAGCCATATGATGCTTCTTGAGCGGCAGAACCAAATAAATGGGTTTTTTTCCTCTGCCGTTAGCACGGGCAGTTTCTTTTTGTGGAACCTATTGTGGACTTCGATGAATCTTTCGGGATATCCACTCGACACTAACGCCCTCTTCAGAAACTCTTCTTCATCTTTCCACATTTTCGGGCTTCAAATTCGTTCGGCTCTCTAGGCCGCGTTTGCATGCGACCGGGGGCGAAGCTGGAAAAGTGTATGTACTGCACACTCCAAGTCGCCTTGCGGTAAAAGGTGCGTTGCAGTGTACTTCTGTTCCGTCTTTTAATGAGGATATCCAAAACGCCAAGCTGCTTTCTTGTTCCATCTCACGGGACACAGATAAGTTGGGGTGGATTGACAGCCGGGTAAAATGTTCTGGCTAGTGAAAGCCAGAATGTCATCCACATGCGATTTCGCCTCACCAATACTGCAGAAATGTGTCTTGTTAGTTTGGCCTCTCACGTGATTTATCAGTTCACCTGCAGTTGCGGTGACGCTTACATAGGCATATTACTGTGCCATTTATGTCTGACGTTCTATTTAAGTGGTAAGTAAATCCGTTGGGACAACATGCCACAATTCCGGACACGGGTGCTGTGTCCAAGATGATATCAAAACAGATCCGGCCCCAATATTGAACGAACGCACGGTCTCTCATGTAACAAAAGAAACTATGGATTGGAGGGGTCACTTTGAAGCACTCGTCGTGTGGATGGGTTGCCACGCGCATCCCAATCCAACGGCCCATAAGCACTCAGAGAGCCGGATGAATGAGGTTCAGTTCCACTTCAATCATGAGTATACTTCCATGGTCACGTGACCGGTGTTACATACCAGTGCAGGTCACATTCGATTTAGCACATCATATCCCATACATGCCCTGTAGATTCCTTTATGTTTTGAAACCAGGTGATGAACTCGATCGTCTAGATGAGGACTACTCAGTTTCTCCGTAACTGTTTAAAATTGTCGAAGATGTCATGAGTGCATTCGCTTCACTCGGAGTGGGGTTTCCTCCAGTGGGCGTGAATTGTGTAAACTTGCCTCCATTAGATAATTCGGTGATGCAGTAAGTCTCAACTTTTAAAATTTAACCCAGGTATTGACATGGTTTAAAAATGTTTGAGTTGTGCGAGAAGGAGCATTGTGTGCAGTCGTAATCGCCAGTTTGAGTCTGATAGCTCTTCGAAGGGAAGTGGGAACACGTAAGCCAGTGTTCTCAAGTTAACTGTCCTGAAGCCAATGCGAACAAACGTGACGAACTGTGTTGCTTCGCTATCTCGGAGCGGCCGGACGTTTTAAGACTTGCAGAGACTTGGCTGAACTCCGACGTCATACCCCAAGAAGTCGTGTTGTCAGGATATTCTTGTTTCCGATGCGACCGAAAATCAAAGGCTCACGGTGATGTTCTGTTGTACATAAAATCGTCACTATCTGGCATACTTATCAGCACCTATCGGAGCGAGGATAGCTTATGCGAGCAATTGTGGTGCACAATCTGCCTCAGGCGCGCAGAACTAATAGTGGGGGTTATCTACCGGAGCCCGTTAAACCGTTGTTGCGATTGGCTACCACATGTACAGAAGCACATGAGCCGCCCTCAGTTCTTACTGATGGGGGATCTAAATTCACCTAAGATATTTTGGCCAGACGTTCGACTTCTTCCCGGTCATGGCAACACAGGCTCAATTCGCTAAAATGACTATTGAAGTCGGGGCAACGCAACATGTTATCCAACCGACTCCGTACTCGGCATCTTGTCAGAACCTAATGTTTACGAGCTGCGAGCAGAAGCTGAACCAGATCAAAGTCCTCGAACCTCTGGCGAACAGTGACCATTACTCCATTGTGGCAAGTTTAGAACTGTCGTTACTATAGTACAATCAACGGAAGCCGACATTCAACTATTGGAAGACGGACCTCAACGGGCTCGTCCAAGCCGCAAGTCAGACTGATTGGACACTACCACAGGATGCGTCACTTGAGGCCTGTTGGTCATTAATGAAGGGGAAGCTTCACTCGCTCTGTACTCGGTTCGTTCCCCTTAAGTGTTCAAGGATCGGACCTGTCAAACCGCATTGGTTTGCTACGGAATATAGACAGTTAGCGCGACCGCGTCGCAAACTTTGGGATAGATACATCAGCTCGGGTTGTGATGAAGAGTACACGGTGTACAAGAAACACCGTAACTTTTGTAACGCCGCAAAGATCAAGAAACGCCGGAAGTTCGAAGAGGAGCTAGCATCCTCGGCCAAAACTGCACCTAAAAGAATATTTGCCTACTTGAAACGTCAACTGAAAGCTGGGGGCGACCTACCGGTCTTAGAGAGCTTAGACGGAAAGACGCTCATTTCAAGCGCGGAATGCGCGGACGCCTTGGCTACGCACTTCCTCACTGTATTTTCCAGTAAACCGGCGGCGGTTTCAGTACCGGCACAGGTTGCGCAAGTCTTGCTCGACAGCCTACAATGTGATGCAGTCGAAGTGTATCAGCTACTCGTCAACCTCGATGGCGCAAAGCCCCCCGGACCAGACGGACTTCACCCACTAATACTCAAGTTCCTAACGATTATCATATCACCAGCCGTGACAAACCTTTTCAATAAATCGCTCTCTGAAGGATCTGTCCCGAACGACTGGAAATGCTCAATAGTGAGACCGCTTCCCAAAGGTGGTGATGCGAGTAAAATAGAGAACTATAGACCGATCTGTTTGACTTCGGTATTATCTAAAGTTCTCGAGAAGGTTTTGAAAAAGTGTCTGCTGTCGTTCTTCGAATCGATGGACGTATTGACGCCAGCGCAACACGGCTTTACGAAAGGGCAATCCTGCATCGCCAACCTGATGTACGCAACCCACCAGTGGGTACGAGCTCTAAACGAACCGAAGGATGTTGACGTGGTTTACATCGACTTTAGTAAGGCGTTTGACAGAGTGAACCACGAGGTACTCCTTGATAGCCTGAGGACATACGGAATCGGTGGCACGTTACTTTAGTGGTTACACGAGTTTATTGTGGGACGAAAGTTTAGAGTACAGGTCAATGACTATCTGACAGACTGGTTCCCATCGACTAGTGGCGTGCCTCAAGGAACTGTACTTGAGCCAGTATTATTTCTTATTCATATCAACGATCTTCCGCAGCAGCTCCAATCACCATGTGCCCTGTTTGCAGATGATTTGAAAAACTGGAGGATCATTGAGAACCAGGACGACTGCGCTCGCCTCCAGCACGACTTAGAGCGACTGTCAACGTGGTCCACTGAAATGCAACTCCCTCTTAACGCACGCAAGTCGGAGTTCATCAGTATCACCAGACGTCCAGCCACTCGAGCATATACTTTGGACGGCCAGTTGCTCCATCCCAACACATCTGCCAGAGACTTAGGAGTTCTCTCACGACATGATATGAGATCACTAGAAAATACAGAGAAATTGTACCGTGCGGAACTTCGTATGCTCTGGGCATTAAGACGCGGTTTCTCCACATGGTCCGAAGAAATCGTCCCTCGTCTATTCATCTCGCTCATTAGACCAATCCTTGAATACGGTGCCCCAGCTTACCATCCGATAACCCAACGGGAAGCTGAAAAGCTGGAGAAAATACAGCATATCGCAACTAGAATGATACCGAGGCTACAAAAGCTTCCGTATGAAAAACGTTGTGAAAGGCTCGGACTCTACACACTATCCTATCGCCGAGTAAGAATTGACTTTATTATGACCCATCGATTACTACACTTAAATCACTTCCCCATACTGCGGCCAATATTTCACCTGCGGGAACTCTGTAACACCCGAGGACACCGTTACAAGCTCAGGGTCCCTAGCATGAACAAAGCATCACATCAGCTTTGTATCAAACGAAGAATCGTAAACTTATGTAATACACTACCAGAAGGATTAATAGAGGCCGATTCTATGAAGTGTTTTACGACCCGTATCGATGATTATTTCAGAAAACTGCTTTTGTGTAACGATGCACATAAAGTGCCAAAAGAAGACATCGTAAGCCCGGAAATAATGACAGTAGTACAAATTCCTAACCGAACAAGGATAAACGATTAACGAACCAGACACAACTGCTGATGATTCACAGCTAAATGTTTTTGATTTTTCGTAATTCGATAGAGTTGTACAGAACCCTTTCTACTTGCTCTTAAATACAGTCTCACACACTCATTCGGTAAGTCCGTGCGTCTCAGTTCGAATAAACGCGCAAACGTGTGGACTGAGGTTGCGAACCCAACGGAGTGAGCACTCTCTGTTTGCCAGAATGATCTGCATATTGGTGTTGAAACAAATTCCTAATCATGGAAGCAGCGGACAATGTCGATGGCATGTTGCAGGGACCAGAGGCGCCCACCATCGTGCAAAGGGCACCTGGACATATCAGTGTTTGCAATGCACCGCGCAGTTGACCTCAATCAAACAAAGTATCCATAATTGAGATTTTGATGTCGAGTTTTAAATGATTTGACGACACTTGTTGGGGGCATGCTCCAATATGTCACATGGAGCCTATTTCAAAATGGTGGGCCAGTAATGCTTGTATGAAATCCCGTGACTCAGTGACATAACTTGCTGTCTCGCGGCTCAAGCCGCAAGTGGTCATAGTTTCAAATTATGATAGATACGTACTACTGACGAGACCCAACAGGTCGAAACGGCAGACTGGTGTTTTTCTGGGCTTGTGGAGCATCATTTGTTTTGAAAGCTACTGTGATGAGCTCTCAACTAATTAAACCAAAAGTCCCCTACTCATGAATAAATCCCAAAAGGTAAAGCAGCCCGCGCTATTTTAAACTGCGATGAACCTATAACTGCCTCGTGTACACTATAATAATTGAAATCGTGTATAGGTAAGTTCACGGTAGCATTGGCTCTGAGTGCGGATAAACCTAATTTGGCTGGCTAGTGTTTTCAGTTTGATTCCCGGTGAAGTGAGCTCCAGATAACCATCATTTCGTTACATTAAAGAGAGAGGTTAATCACAAATGTCTCGGCAGCAAGTGAAATAAGGTGAGTGAACAGTGTGATATGATGTGCAGCGCTGGATAGAGTAAAAATATTATCGCTACACTCAGCAGCAGCTATGAAAAGAGGAGGGAGGCGATCTGGGTTTGTCAATCAACTGTGGCCCAGTTGACATGATCAATAGAAAGAGCGAAAGTGTCACGATTCGGCTGCAAGGTGACAGCCAGGGAACATGAAGGAAGTTTCAAGGTATAAACAACTGAAAAGATTCGATCGAAGTATTCAAGATTTGGCTTAAATATTCGGCACCTCATTACATCCGTCTTGCAAACTTCTTGGATGGGCACAGTGACCGTTTCCCCATTTTGATGCTGGTCTTCACGTGAACACTGGGAAATATTGCGATTTCGAGGAATAAAATATACAACCATTTGATGATACTAAAAAGTAGTGCATCTCACACGTCATTCAGGCAAACCCGATGCATTGTGTGTTGAAAAGTCAAAACGTTTAGGCACAAAATTGTCAGTTCCACTGGGGGGACGAAAAGGAAGTACAAATAAGTGTGATCCGCGGCGCTTGTATTGTGCGCAAAGATGTTACACCGATATTCTACAACTGGTCTCCAACTTCTCTCTGTGTGTAGGGGGATCTGTTTACACACTACCACGGCTTGACAGAATGGACAAAATTATCCGAGAAGCGAGCGGCGATTGCTTTCCGATCCTCGGTTTCCAACTCGTTGGCCATGCGAAGAAGCGTTTTCCTGAAGAAGAAGAAGAAGAAGAAGAAGAAGAAGAAGAAAATCAAACAAGGTGAACATATCCGCAGAGACGACACGACTGTTAACGCCACTACGGCTTTCTTAAGTAGCTCCGCTCCACAGGCGGGAGAGAAAATCAACGGAAATTAATGGGAGAGGAAACTCCGCACAAATAAATGGGGCATTGGGGATATACCGAAGTAAGAATACAGACTCATGATAAAATCCCGAAACAACAGATGAGTCAACAAACTAATGGGACGTACTTCTTGAAAACACGCGAGCTGAGGCGGGACCGAGAAGTGTTTGGTTTCTCCTTCAAATCCCATAGACCAGGGTAGCGTTTGCGAGCCCGACGCTTTCTCTCGGCGACCCTAGCTGCAAGGTGAGGGAAGGGTAATATTAACCAGTGAAGCGCAGAGCTTCATGAAAGTCTCGCCTCAAATGTGAACTGCACACCGCAACAAGCATGTAAACCACAGGATCTCTCATCGGTTGAAACATTGTCATGTGATAACCGCTTGTATGCACTTTAAGGCACAACAGGTAAACTTAGCGTACATGGTGTGGAGCTAAAACGGCAATCCACCTTGCGTCGAGCGGGTCCGGCGCCCGGAGCGAACATACATAACTTCGCAGCATTCCTAGTCCGCACGCTATTGGCGGTGGTTGGCTGCCAGCGAAGCGTCAGTACAACGTAGTAGTATGTTGCGAACACTTTCCTGCGACTCGCGGAAGAGATGCATTTAAGTTTGACAGGACTCGTTAATCTCCTTAATCTACTGGCCAGTGAAATTCTCAAAAAAGTGAGGAAATATCCCAGTATCATCTGCCTCACATTGCGAACAAAGTGCTTATATGCAAGGATAAGCCTTGAAGCAATGTTTCTAAATAAAGCCGATGAAGTAAGCAAGTGTCTCAAAGAATAAGGTAGTTGGCATTCTGGTACGCTGGGTTCCGGTGAGTTCATGAGCGGAGTCCAGATGTTACGGAGTACACCGGACGAAAACAACATTAAACATAAAAATAACAAACCAAGCGAGAAATGGTCAGTCGAAGTGCTAAGTAAAGTGGAGCCAAATAGCAAAGACTTTTGGGGCACACCAAACCGGACAATGTGGGAGCGTATGTGGTTGATCGGGTGGACCCCAATTAGAAACAGCAGACGCATGCACTCTATCGCCCTAGTGCCTCTCATCAGCATAGAGGTCTGCGCCTTACCAAGGCAAGTTGCGGAGGGCTTTTAGACCCCCCCCCCCCAACTCATTAACCATATTTTGTCTCAAAGCCCCGAGCTAATACGTACTGATATCAACCGTTTTTCTCGACTCTCGTTAAATCGTCCCATGGTGGTGTAGAGTATGATGAAACGAAGGCCCAATCTTGTCATATAAAAAGGTAACTAAGCACTCAAGTGAATAGACATTCATTTTGAAATACGCTTGGAACCGATCGAGAATTCTTGACTTCAGAAGGAATTGAAAATTATCGGTTGGTATAGTTGGAGGGAAACGTTTCGCTTTCGGCACGAAAACTTCGTCAAAGCAAGTGAACCAGGTAGTTGGCGTATCAATTATGGGAAATCGGGACGATAATCACGACGACCGAGATGTAAACAGGAAGGCATTCACGTCATAAGTCAGTGTCATTTCAAGTGGCACATTAGGCATCACAAGACCCAGGTGGTTCATGTACAATGTCATCACACGTAAGTCCATGCCAATGATAGGGGTGGTCTGATGTTCGCTCTCTGCCACTGATCCGTCCGCCGGATATTGCACCAACAGAATATGTCGCATTAATCGCCCTAAATTAAGCTCCGAACATTATTATCAAGAATGCTGATAAACACAAGATTATAGTGATAATGAACAAGTCAAATTATTTCGAAAAAATGGAGGAGCGCCAAGCAACGGACCATATAAGGTAGTACACAATAAGACCGTCACGTTATTAATGGATAAGACCGAGGTTGACAATCATATAAGTAACATTAAGGGTGGTCTGGGGTTTTAACATGTATTTCCACCAGGGGTGCATGGTGTACCGAAGATACATAAGCCTGTAGTACCCATTCGATCTAATGTGGAAAGCAAAAGTTCACCGAAGGACGAACTAACTAGAGAATCTGTTGTAATCGTTGCCAAGGCAAACGAATACGTTCGTAAAGAACTCTTCTTAGTTCGCACAAAAACTGCCAAACGTTTTCATTGAGTCCTATGAAATGATGGTCATTTTAGACATTAGTCTGCTTTCCATCAAGGTGTTAAAAGGAGACGTGTTGGAGATAGTAAGACACTGTTTAACTGAAGACAATTAGACACTGGACGAAACTACGGCAGCTCAATTAATCGGGGGAATGACACTGTCTTAGCATGTCTTATTTCACATTCCAATCGAAGCTTTACACTCGGGAACAAGGCCTTTTCATAGGATCGCCCATATCCACAGTATAAGCAAATTCTGATGGGGGACGTTGACCAGCGGCAACAGAGCACTGAAAATTTCGCGGCGCCGCGTGGACGACAAATAGATAAGGAGAATCATTTTCCAGATCACTTCACTTCCGTTAATGAGGCAATAATCTTCGCGTTAGAATTGGAGACTTTCAATATTACATTACCACTCCTTGACTGCTTACTTCATAGGAATAGGGGTAATCTAAAAACCACGATATTCCATAAACCGACGGACACAGATTCGGCACTCTACTATAGTTCATATCATCCAAAGCATGTAAATGCTGGAATCACCTCACCTCTGATTCACAGTACACAGACCCAGTGCAAGTAATGTAAAAATTACTAGATGGTGGATACCCGAGACGACTGGTAAAATACCAGTTGCAGTAGGTTCTGAACCCAATCCACGGCATACCACGGAGTGGAATGGGACAGTAGGGTTTCCGTGCAAAGCGGGGTTTTAAATAAAAATAAGGGTGATTTTACAGAAGGGTCAAATGGCCCGTTCGACATAGGTGCATTTGTAGGACTACTTACCTGCAAGTTGGACGGTGAATTGCGTCTACGAAATTAACTGCAACGACTGTGCACACGTGTACATAAGCCAAGTCGCTGGGGAACTGCGCATGAGGTTAGCAGAACACAAGGGGTGTATGTTGGCCGTCCCATAGCCCATCGGATGACAAGCATACCTTGTAACCCGAAGGTGCAGGTTCGAGCCTGCGTAAGGACCGAGCGACCTTCGCAGTATCCTTAGCCCACATGCAACTGGTGGTGGTTGCGCGGCAGCGAAGCGTCGTTACTATGTAATGGCGTATTGCTGATACCCTTAGGGGCACATGTCGCAGCCATCAGTGAATGAGCTTGAACACAAGGCTCTATTAAGAGATCTGGCGATATAAATGCGCTAGCCACCGGGCATGAAATCGGCTTAGATAACGTCGAGATCGTTGAAAGGGGGTTGCAACGAACACTTCAAAATTGACTGTTGAGACGATGGAAGTTGTCAGAGCTAACTGCTATGTAAACAGAATGGATGGGGTGAAGTTATCGAGCGTGTGGCAAGCTGCCTTAACCTGTGTCGACAACGGCTATGTGCCTCGAGATATTGAGTTAATTTTCCACCGAAAAGGAAATAGCGAATCCGAATGAAACCGCTTTATCCGTACATTGTGCAGCATATAAGAGTATTTTCGACTTATGTTAAAACTAGGATAAACCTAGTAACTGAGTGAGCTTACTAACACAAAACCAACCACATCCCTTCAAATGTGGTATCTACGCCCATCCATCCACTGGGTGTAGTGAAATAGTCGTATAAAGTCTCTTCGGTATGCTGCATTAAATATACAGTCATTCAAAATGACAGAATTGAAGAACGCCATTGCCGGTGGTCCATGCTGATCCATTGCCGTGTTGCGCACGCCAACGCACCGACTTCCGCGACGTTCGTTGTTTACGCGCCGGGCGTATGGCTGGAAGAAGAGAGGTGGCCAAGCTATAACTTGGTCAAGAGGAATGAAGGTCTTTATTTCGAAATTGGCCTCGATTGGAGCCCGAAAGACGATGAACACGTTTGGCTGGATACACTTGTTGAGATGGCTAGGAGCCGAGCTCAGCAGCGTTCGTGTTGTAAATTTCCTTCCTTCTTCTTTCCTTCTTCTCAAACCATGATCTCATTTAGTAGGCACAATGTAACTTTTTTTACTGCATAATAGCTGGCTGTTAGCTCTCCGGAACGAACGCCATCTGTTACCGGTGACTCAGCCGGCGTGCCTTTAACAAATGGAACATTATTAGTGATTCATCAAGAACATCAGTCTGAGGCAAACAATTGATTCATCTACGGGCCGGTACAATCATATAAGATTAAATTACAAAGGGATGGATAGTGATTGTTTCGGGGGTTTGTTCTGAACTGACTCGGTCAATGGTTAGACAGCGAATAGTTCGCCGCTGTCTCATGCACACAGATCGATTGAGGGTTACGTAATCACGATGCCCTACCCGATGTCAGGGTGACGGCTAGGCTGATGGCTGTTCGGCCAGGGCAGGTATAGAGACTGAACAGACTATTTCTGCGAGCATAGCGGGGGTTGGAATATGCGAATCGCAATGGCCTCTGCAGTGGCGAGCATCCTTAACCGCGTACCTTTCGATTTGCTCATTGGAACCTGATAAATCACAGTAAAGGCATTCGGGAGGTTAATCTGGTGACCTGATTCGAACAGATGAGGCGAAATACAGCTTGTAAGCACTCCGGTGCCCCCGTTCAACAACCATTTAGGGCTAGGTTCCTTAATGCGACGTGGCAGTTGACGAGCCGTCCGACCAATGTATGTTGCCCACAAGTGCACTCAAATCGTTAGATAACGTAAGAAGAGGTCAGCTTCGGCAGTCTGTCCTTATTGCATACAGGAATTAGCTGGTTCCTGGCGAAGATGCATCGTAACTCCGCAGCCGGAAAGGTGTTCCTTATCGATTGCGTCAATTTTCTTGTTAAAAGCTCACTAACTGTATCACCTTTAAAACCAAGACGGATGAAGAGGGATTTTTGCGCAACTACGTCCTTAATGATCGGTGTTATTTTGGGCTGCATGTTGCGCCGAATGAATTTTTCTGGATAACCATTTTCACGCAATGTTCTGGATGGGTTTCATCCTCCAGAGCGTCCTCTGAGCATACCTTTCTCGCCCTTGAGGTGAGACAATGTCGCATATTTTTTTCTTTTATTATGTATTGCAGCACAATACCTAAGGAGTTTTCCACCTCTAGCTAGTGTGCATAATGATAGTTCAATAGTGTATGGTGGGATAAAAAGCAATAACTTTACAAGACCCACAGGATGGCAAATGGAAGAAAACAAAAGTTTCAGGTGTGACACAAAAATATCAGTAAGTTAGACACTGCAGTTTG